GGAGCTGTTTACAGGAAGTTGTTTAACAGAAAAAAAAGTACTACTATGCTTTATTTGAAACAAGCTGATCATAAGCATAAATCAACAACTAGGGAAAAAGAGGAAACAGATTAGACTAAGGCTATGAAGGGCCTTGAAAGTGAAAACATACATTTCTGGGATAAAAGAAGGAGATGACACAGTCAAGGACAATGGCTAGGAAAATGATATTTTAGGGAGCATATTTCAAACAGATACAAGATAGTATTGGTTGAGGACAAGTAAAAGGAGATGGCATTAACTGAGACATTATGTTGAAACCGGGATAAGAATTTTAGCTTGTAAACACACTGGAAAAAAGACTGTACCTTCATAAAACAAAGACATAGTATCCACGACGGAACGTGGCTCACTTTTGAGGCTGCAGAAGCCTCCTTGCCAGAGCCATAAAATATAACAGAAGATCACTCCCCTGCCCTTTACGTTACACTCCTCCCTAGATAGCTATAGCCACTGAGAAAAGGAGCAGACTCTTGATGCAGAACAGTTTACATCTTCACATCTAGAAAAAGTGGGGAAGAATATTTCCTTCCTTCCCTGGCACTTCTCTTGCAAGATGCTACTTGCAAGATATCCACAAAGCCCACCAAAGGCATTGCACTTCCTGTGAATTGTATCAGTTTGCATATAGTGAGGAACTGTGACATGCTCTTAGCCTGTACAGAGCAAGCTGCTGAGCTCCCTTTCACCTTGACAGTTTGTGTCAACAACTCAGAATTTTTGCTGCAAAGATGTAAATATTTTAAACCATTTAAGGTAAGCTCTCTTCTAACTAGATGATCTTAGTACGCTTGAAATCATGTACAGTCACCTGTTAATTGTTTTGCTCTTTAGAAAAATGAGATTAAATCACGTAATCATGGATTGAATGAAGTAGATTGTCTTCAGCCATACAGAGAATTATTACTAGCCTTTGATTTGCTGTCTTACATTTCTTGAGAAGATAATATTCTACCTATGGAGTGTCTTATCTGCTAGCTGATATTGTTTATATAAACAACAGAATCTACTAAAGGGCAAAAAAAACTTTTGCCTAAAAGCCTCATTGCAGAAGACAATCATTTTCTTCCTCTAGCAAGTTCCTCTGCTCTTAAAGATAAAATTTTTGGACTACTTTTGTCCATGAAGTCTATTTGGTGTGACATTGTAGAGTCAGGATATTTATCATGAACCTCATGATGCATAGGTTTTTCTCCTAAAGTTTTTAAAGAAGGTATTTATAGCCTACATAGTTGTAGGGAAGAAAACATGAGCGAATACTAAGCACTCAAACTACTACATTAGAAAAGTGAAATGTTTCAAAGCCAGTTTCAGGAACCAGGTGACTTCCGAATGCTTGGCATGCAGTGGTGGCACCGCCGATACCACAGAAACTACAAGTCCATAGTAGTTCTTTCAACATTAGGCATTTATCATCAGCCAGACTAGTTTTCCACATGAGACTGAGGAAAAATGTTAACACCTCCATGAGTTTAAAGACACTGCTAAAGTGAAATGGTAACAGAAGAGCAGTGGGTAACAGTAGGTGAGTGTTTGGAACCAACTGTGAGCTATCTCCTTGGCTAGGGGTATTCCCTCCGCTCTGTAGCACCGCTATAGCATTCTGTACAACTGGGTACATAAAAGTAGGACTTATATGGTGGCTAAGGCAATTTCCTCTCAGAGAAGCAGAGGTTTGCCAAATCATGGAAATAGCCTAATAGGTTTTTCTTATTTTTATCTGTATTTGCTCTTACCACATAATTAATTCTATTTTCAAAATGCCTTTTAATTTTGAATAAGATTCCACATGCAGATTGTTAGGGAGGCATTCAGAGCATAATCAGGCGCTTCCACATTGAAAAAGGAATCAGCTGCAGGATGAGAATACATATGCTAACTGTTGAGAGCTCAAGTCTCAGCCCCAGCTGTGCCAACAGCTATAGATGCCAACCAAGGATTTGGAATAGGGTTTTGTTCTGGAGAATGAAAAATGGAGTCCAGTGGAAGGGAGGGAGAGAAAATACCCCAGAGAACTTTTCCAGCTATATGTAGAATAACTGCAAATGCCTTGGATGTGCACCTCATTTGTCACATCCTTAAAAAATGCATGCTTTTGAACACTGTCTTCCTTTTTTTTTCCCTCAGTAGAGATCTACTGGCCAGTCTCAGGCATGGGAATGAGAAAAGCTGAATGCCAGAGCTTAGGACAAGTCCGAATATCTAACACCCAAAGAACACTTGTAACAGAGCCTCTTCAGGGATAGTTTTGTTTTTACACAAATGATAATTACAGATGCACTGGTATAAATGTCTATTCTATGTGGACTCTTAAGACTTCGTACGGAGCACAAGCAAAGTATAACGGTGGATGAGGAGAAGGAGATTCAATGAGGATGAGAAATGGGCATCTCTTTTCCTCTTTTTTAGAGGCGTATGCTGGGATCTGCAATGATGACATTGCTGCCCTATGCAACGTCCGTCCACAACTCTTTGGAATGCCTTATTTTGAGTGTGGCAAACTACAACAACATTTTTATTTTGGGAGAATATAACAAGCCATTTAACTTCCTAGGGTGAGAATTTAACACTGACTTAGCATTTCCTCACTCAAGCCATTTACTTTCTCTTTTGCATTAGTTGGATGATTAAAAAAAAAAAATCAGCATTTCAATTAATTTATAATAATTTTTAAGACAATTTTACCTCCAGATTGTAATTCAGACTAGTAATAAAATTAGCTTACAAATACTGTAAGGAAATGAACAAAAAATTGCTTCTGTGGGAATATTAAGAAATATAAATGGAAGTATTTCTATTGTGTTTAAATCAATAACATGTATTTACAAAACGAAAAATTTAGCCTATATGTTTTACTTAGAATTACCTTTGAGTGAAGTCTATTCTTATTCCGTTGTTCTCACACATGCCTAAGAACGCAAAATAAAATAATACAGTTTGATACTTTAAAAAATATATATATCGTGGCAATAGCACAGTAATCCAGATCTTTAACCCCACTCTTGGTTCAGAAATCTCAGCATGGGTCCTTTCCAAAACAGGTGACGAAACTGGCTAACCTAGTAGCTCCTGGAGCACCGATTTATGAGCTGTGAGTACATACTGAAAGGATACATTAAAATAATTAAAAATTTAAAGACGATCCTTAATTTTTAATATGGAAGCCAGGACAAATTGGTTATTAGCAAACTAGATGGAATTTTGCTTTGATATTATAAGGAACTGTAAAAGTAACCGAATTCCAGAGATCCAAGAACCTAAAACTGTGCTCTTGAACATCACACCTACATGAAGTTGAGATTAAAACATAAAGTATGTTGCTTAGACAGGTAATAAGGCCAGCTGACAGCGTTAGTCCTGCATGTAGCCAATTTATTAGCAACTTAAGCAGCAAGCAATCACATAAGCTTAAACCAAGCTAAAACACCTAAAGCAAAATTCATTCAGATGCTGAGAAATTTGCAGTGATCTACATTTGCTTGAGAATATGTGGATACTGGCAATTTGAACTGACTGCCACTCAAAAGTGGGAATGAAGTTAAGATCAATTTCTCTTGCTTATTGCTTTCTTCCTCTTAGTGTGCTAGATAACATTAGGCCTTTCAAGAATCAGTCCCTTAAAGGCCTTTCAGCTTTCACTATTAAGAGATCATTTGGAGAGGGAAATGAGATTATCTACAGTTGGAATTAGCAGCAGTCAGAATGGGTAAGGTTCTTTAAAAACACCCTTAAGGTCCATTTTCAAAAGTCAATGGAAGTTCTTACCTGTGATACAAAACTGATACGAAGGTATACATGCACTTCATTTGAAAGAAAAATCCACTAAGTGATAGCTGAGTCAGTTAATAATACCTGCAGAGAACAGCAATTGAGTTATGAACCTTATTCTACCTGAGGAACGTGAGCACATTTGAGTTACAGGTTGGTAATGCAATTCTTAAATAAAGGCAAACACTCGTCCGGTGTTTGGATGAAGAAACGAGAATCACAAGTCCACAGTGTGATTCTGGAACGAAGGCAAAAATCTTTCTGGAATTTTGCATTTATCGTTTTTCTACACAGAACTACGTCAGACTGTTAGCTAAAGAACAGATGGGTTACTGCTCACAATGACATCAGCTGATTTGAGATAAGTTGATCATTTATTGCCCTTAACTACAGCACTTGGGCACTATCCATTAGGCTGTCTCTAAGGGTAACAGAAACTATTTGCAACAGCCTTGGATTCTTCAATGTTTTTGGAATGCTGTGGCCTTTAAATGAGCGTTCTGAACCAAGAGAACTGCAAAAAGAAAAACTTATTTCTGTGAAAGCCAATAAAAATACACTTTTCTTCCCAGTTTAACCCACGCTATAAGAAACAGGGGTCTGTAAATTCAAGTATTATCATTTCCTCACCTTTGGAAAAGGGTATATTTTCTGGCAACAATTATTTCAAGGACATGTATGGCAGATTTAGGAGGCATTAATACAAAACTCAGTAAAGAGAGAAAGACTAGAGGAGGGAGAGAAGGAGGAAGGGAGAACGCGTGCACACATTGTCCAGTTAATGGCACAGTTGTCTAGTCAACAGTCCTGGATTTCATTCCTTTCTCAGCTGAGCACATTATGGTATTTTGGGATAGTCACCACATCCTTAAGCCTCATAAATATTCATTGATATAAAACCATATACCTTATCCGCCACTTCATAGTGTAAGAACTTGACAGGTTTGATTTAAATCATGAAACATAAATCAAGCCTAGCATCACCATCAATTCAGAATCTAAGGCAGGCAGAATTGTCAAGTGCAGAATCATACAGAATGCACTTGCCTGATATTTGAAACACTAAAATATGACCTTTCTAGCTGGCTCTCACCCTCATACAGAACATTTCTCATTACAATCAGATACAAAATTTTATAGAAACTGTGAAACAATTCTGTTTCAGATAGCATAGTCAGTACGAAACTATCATAAGCCACATCAGCCTTACACGTGTAATTACACTTTTATTGATCCATTAAACCCAGAATATTTTGATAACATATTTAAAAGACGATTTACTCAGTAATCATTAGCTTAGCATAGCACAGATATAGCAAAAGCAAGTAAATGAAACATCATTTAACTGCCTAGGAAAGAAGGGAGATGAAGAAGAACAATAATGCAATAAATAAATTAACCTGTTACACGTAAGCACAAAAAAGTACTATAGCTTGTTGAAACTCTTCATTGATGGGGAGTGATGGTCAGAGGAAGACAGAGGTCTCCTGCCAAGAAGGGGAGAAATCCACACAAGTTGTGCTGAAAGAATACATGCATATTGGCACCCATCCCCTTAACAAAATCCTGTGCACCACTTAACTGCATAAAATAAACATATGGTACCTAGATCTTGCATTGTGTTCAGGCTGGAAAGAGTTGCCTATTATGTGCATGCTTCAGATTTGCCATCAAGTAGCAGAGACTAACATACAGTAGTATTGTGTGCTAACTCCTGAACGGCAGTACAATACTTAAAAATTCTTGGGGAGTAGGGCGTGGGGGCAGTGGGGCTGAAGAAGAGAGCGCCACATAAATGTATAACTACTGTTTAATCCTGGAAATTACCCAAGAAATGTTAGTCTCATTTTAGTATTAAAAATTAGAAATAATATACTAATTAGCATGACATCCATGTAGTGTATGTTATAACAGGTGGAAGATAGCCAAACCATGTAATTCCCTTAGAGGTGGATGAGGGCAGGTGATGTGCAGAGAAACAGCACGCTCAGCACTGACAATACATGATGGAAGTATTCAGAAGCACTTGCGATGGACAATAGAAGGACCAGCTTCCTCATACTCATCTTTACTGATCCACATTTGCTGAAAGGTGGATAGAGAAGCCAGTATTGAACCCCCAATCCAGACAGAGTATTTACGTTCTGGCGGTGCAATCATCTAGAAGAGAAGGGCAATCTGTTGTAAACAAAGTGACAAGTAGATAACACAGTAACATCTCTTTGGATGAAACAGCTAGGGAAAGTCCTCTCATTACACCAGTGCAAATTCACTGAATTAAAGCACCTAAAAGGTAAAAAGGCAGCCATATTTTCTGTCTCCGCCTCAAGTCAACAGAGCTGCTGTAACGTTACTAAAAGCTGACAAATAATGGCAGCCCATGAGATATATGAAGATGGCCCATAAAATAGGTAGCAAAACAAAATATATGAGAAAGAAAAACAAAACTTTACAAGATTAACTTAATTTGGTCATAAACAAAGACTAGTGGGACAACACTGAACAAAATGGTCTGGAGATCTTTTTAAAAGAATCAAATAGTTCTTTAAGTAAAAGCTAAGCACTAGATGTAGGGCTAGAAGATCTGCATCCTATTCCCAGCTTAGCCACTGACTTGTTAAGATACACTGGACATATCACTACCTCTGCGCGCTCCTGTTTCCATTCCTGCCACCTGGTGTCACGTCTGTTCAGAACGCAGTCTGTTGCCTGATAGAAGAGGCTCTGGATTTCACTTAGGTTTCACTTTGGGTAGTAAAGTAACATGAAACAGTAACACCGCCTCAACTGAAAATTTCACTGCAGTGTCCACAGCGAAATCCTTCCTCCAAGTCAGCCAGCACAGACCTGACTTAGTCCTGCAGTATGGACACCCACCTGACAGGTCCAAAACGCAGGCAATTTTACATTAGGATTCCAGAGCTATTTAACAGCAGCACATAAAGCAGCTAAGTACAGATGAGACAACCATATATAACGTTGGAAACTAAATCATGTTAACACCATTCAATATCCTCCATACTTTGCCCTTTTTAAAACGTTTAAGCACCAGTGAAAAGAGACTACAAATATACCCATAATAATAAATTCTGAGGCTAATAGCTGAAATCACAGTTCTGCACCGGTCTGTGTTATCGCACAGAGACAGATGCCAATAAAGGACCACTGAATTCTGTCCTTTCCTCCATTTACCATAACTTCTGTTCATTAATGAAGCAAAGCAATTGTACAGTTGGAAAACAATAGCATACAGAAAGATTGCTTCTAGATGAGTGTACAGGAGCACTCAAAGTTGCACATTGTCTTGCAACCAAGCTGAAAGGGTCCTTTCAAGTAGCTAACAAGGTGTATACCTTGCATGCTGCTGGGTTTTTGAATTTATTAGTAAAGAAGAGTTCTCCTGTAACTGCATATACAACCTACTCCCCTGAAACTTCTTTCACCATTTTCACTAATGCCTTTATAGCTAAGAAGTTACCGGGACTTCAAGGCTGAAGTTATTCATGACCCCTTTGGTATTTACAGCTCCACCCTCTCTACTTTTTTCCCTACCTCTTTTCTTGTTCCTTCGGTCTCATTCAAGATGTCCTTTTCTCCCTCATCTCCCTATCTCACTGGAATCTTATATAATTCTTCTACTTAACTGTTGTTTCACATTTCCTTTAAATGGCCTCATCAACTCCCATTCCTTCAGCAACCCTCTTATTCCAGTGACTCTCAAATTACTCTTCCAATCTGTAGATTTTGGCTAGTGTGTGGAAAAGAGGTATTAAGCAGCTTGCTTAAGGCCTAGCTCTGCTAACTGCAGGACTTCTGATGCAAGTTCTGAATGTTCCCTTATGGATATTTTTAGATTTGTTTATAACATCTAACACTCCAACAAGAGAAGGGTATGTGCAAGTGTTAACATAACTATTACCTTAATCTTCATAGTACTTGGAGCCAACGCTGTAATCTCTTTCTGCATACGGTCACCAATACCAGGATACATTGTGGTTCCTCCAGAGAGTACGTTATTAGCGTAAAGATCCTTACGGATGTCAATATCGCATTTCATAATGCTGTTATAAGTGGTTTCATGGACACCTGCAGATTCCATCCCTGGGTGGAAATAAGTTTTCAACATGTTGTTTCTGAATAACGAGGAACCTACTTCTCTACATTTCCTTCTTTTTATTATTGTTAAAATGACAGGAAGACTCATTAGTCCAAGCTTGTTTTCTCACCTGTCTCCCTTAAAAAAACTCCAGAAAAAAAGGTATGTGATACTTGGGAGAAGAAGGAGAAAAAGACAGGATGCACTCCTCACCTTCTTTGCCATCTTAGCATAGACAAGATTAATAATCATACAAGTAAAATACACTTGAAGAGAAGAAAGATCCCCATTATGTTTTCATAGGGGGGTTTTGACTTCATCAAGTAAAAAAGAAATGAGATGCTCTTGCAATTGTTTGCCATTCTTATAATCTTATATCATGCTGTTAGCTAGACATAGAAGGCCACTTGACATTCCAGAGGGCTACGTTGATTTTGAGGTGCCAGTTTAACTAAAATGCCAGTAGAGTAAAGATAACTTACAGCAGTGTTTTTTGCTAAAGAGGACTGGAAAAGACATAGTACTGGAAGTACAATTTGAACTTTAACTACTATACTTATAAGTTAACTTAACATATTCATTTTGACAAAGATGTGATCCAGGATGTGATCCAGAAACTCCTGGTTTCTGTAGCCACGTTTCTGATACTGACCATCGTTCAGCCTCAACTCTGATTCCTGATACACATCTGGTAGCCAAATTGCTTCATCTATTAAGGAGAATTTCTGTAAATCTCACTCCTGCTAATGTTCAGATACAGAACTTGGAGCTATACTAATGCTTGAATAGTTTGATGTCTACATACAAACAGAGCTGGCTCTGCCATCTAGTTTAATGGAAATAGCGCCAAACTGCCTGTAGCTATTTTGCTCAGTCCTC